CTATATTTCCACTTTCCAGATGACAAAGTATATGAAGTCAAGGTTAAATGGCTTGTCTAAGGCTACCAGGACTTGGACCCAGGTGACTGGTCCCAACTTCAAAGCACTTCCCACTATTTCATGGTTTTTAGTCCTGTTCATAACATGTGTATGTTCTTTGCAGTAAGAAGAGTAAAACTGAATTTCTGAGTGTAGAGAGTCCAGGATCCAGGGGTGACAGGTGCAGAGGAGGAGAAGGTGGTCCCCAGACTAATCCTCCTTCACCAGCAAACCACAACTTTCACTGGGGCAGCTTGGGTTGGTGCTTCAAGGATGGAGGGATACAAGGTTCAAGCATCTGGCTGAACAGCTTAAAAGAAGGAGGGAGGCTGGGATCAGCTTTGGTTCCACCACCCCCACCCCCGTGCCCTTCTCTTCATGGTTTCTTTCTTCTAGGGTCTCTGTTTTTCTCAACATCTTGTCTTTCCCAATGTCTGACCTCCACATTCCAATTACAGTTCTTAATCTCCTTCATTCTGTTTATCATGTCTCCCCACCTTGTCTCTTTGTCTCCAGTGTTGCTGTTTCTGTGTTATCATAACTGTCTGCTCTGTCTCCCCCATGTCTTAATGTCGCCACCCTGTCTTGGGACCTCCCTCAGGACTCTGGCTCCCGGCATAAGTTTCTGTCTATCCAAGAGCATCTGTGTTTTCTCCACACCTGTATTCCCCCAGGTCTGTGGCACCCCGTATCTTTCATCTCTGAACGTTCTACAAAAGTCCTGGCAACCTGGCAGTTCTGCCCCAACTCTCTTTCTTATCGCCCTGTCTTCCCATGTCTCTGTCCTGTGGTTAAGTCTCCCCCATTTCTCTGTCTTCCCCATTTCTGTTGCCCAATGGCCGTTTTCCCATCTTTTTGTCTCTCCTCCTAGATCTCAGTATCTCCACACCCCCCACCCCTCACACACACACACCCCTCACCCCACCCCCCATCATCATTTTCCTCTGCTCCCCTGTCTCCATCTCTGCCTCTCATTCTTTCTGTATCTCTCATCTCCCTCATGGCACACTCTCCTGAGTCTCTCTGTCTCCCAATTTCTTGGATTGGGTGGAGGGCAGGAGGGTGTGGGGAGGTAGGCTTGTTGCTGGGGGCTCATTAGGTGGAGATTGGTTTTTAATCAGCACCATGGCAATGATGATGCAAGAACTGAGATGCCACCTGATCCCCTGCCCCCCAACCCCCCTCCTCAAGCCTCCTTTCCCCTCCAGCTCAGCCCATCTGCTGGGGCCTGGGCACCTGTCTGGGCCTGCCCAGGTGGGAGTTGGCACCTCCCAAACCTGGGGGTTGGGGGGAGGAAGGGGTGGCAGACCTTGGGGAGGAATTATGGAATTCCCCTTAGGGAATGCCTCACTCTGTAGAAAGCCCAGAGAAGATTGATCAGCAACAGGGACATGGCAAATTCCTTCAACAACCTGAATGGTAAAGTGTGCGCCTACTAAGGGGCAGGCCTTTGACATGCATTATTTCAGTCTCCATGGCAACCTAAGGAGAAGCTATATAGAATGAATCCCATTTTACAGAAAAAGACATTGAGTCATAACAGGTTAAGTTACTTGTCCAAGGCCATACAATTGAAAGAGATGTTTCCCCTGTACCACACTGTCTTTAGGGTCCTCTTCAACAATAGTTCATTTTGGATGCTTGACAAAGATTTGATGAAGACATGCAACAGCTGAGTTGGGGGAGAATTTCAGCTCCTGAAACCCAGCCCACGGCCTCTCTGTGCTCCCTTTCCTGTCGCCCTGCAAAGCACACACACATACATGCATGCACTAGAGGCAGCTGAGCTATTGATGTGAACTTAATCAATGCTCATTTGCACATAATTTTGTAACTAGTTTCGTTATTGCTCATTTGATGCCCCAGTATACTCAAAGCCTGCCTGGGCTGCTGCGCCCTGCTCTCCTAGTAGCCTTCCAACTCTGGTAGTTCCCCTCTTGGCATGCCTCCACTCCTCTCCTTTAGCCCTTATCTCTCCCTCCCCTCCTAGGAGCCACTCAATGACAATGGGTCAGGCTGGGCTGGCCAGCCTAGAAAACTTGTAGGGTCTGTGCCAAGAAATTGATCTAACTCCTTCTGTGATGGTGGAGTAGGTAGGTAGGTAGGTGGCTGGTGGCTGAAGGAGATGGTGTAGGGGTGATTGAGTTCTAGTGTGGTGAGGGCAGAAGCCTGAGCAACAGCTACTGGCAGCCTGGCAAGGGGTAGGTACCAGCTTTAGGAAGGATGAGAGCTTAGAAAGAGTGAGTATTCTTGGGTCCTCTTCTGTGTTCTAGTGCGGTCCACTTGCTCATTTCTCGGTTTCCCTGTTCCTTGGAGAGCCTTCTTCCCTGGGAAAAGGAGACATGGAGAAGGGGCTGTCAAAGTCAGTCAGGGACTTAGAATTGAACCAGGGCTTCCTGGGGGCTCTGCCCCTGTCACCTCTGATAAGGGAGGCTGAGGGGGTTCGGCTATGATCCTGCCCTGGCCCTCGCCCCAGCCCCACCCCTTCCCCAGCTCTCCATTTCTTGCTTATGAAATATGCATGGAGAACAGATGTCCCTGCTCCCCCACTCCCCGCACCCCCCCTCCAGGGCCAGCCCCCACCCCCAGCCCCCGGGGGAGCTTCCCAGATCCCTCTGCCAATGGCTGCCTGGCCTGACTGTTTAATATTGATGAGGAGGGGGTGGCCTGGGCCAGCCAATGGAGAACTGGGGGTGTGTGTGTAGCTCCATATATATACATAGGGCTGGGCCAGCTCAGGTGTATATGTGTCTGTGAGTGTGTGTGAGTGTGGGTGGTCCCAGTACCTGGTCAAGCCCACCCCTCCCATCTGGGCCCTATCTCCCCACCATGTATTCCCCTCTCATCTGCCCTGGAGCCTATATGGCCTCACTCTGCTGCCCCCGAGAGCTCTAGAACACTGATCACTAACTTTGCAGACGGATGAGCCCAGAGCAGCCCGACTCAACGCTGCCCCCTGTCCAGCTGGATCCCCTGACAGGGTCCTCCTAGGTAAAAGGGAAACCAAGGGCTGGGAGGGGTGGGCATGTCCCTCCCACTCTGGCTCAAGTCCCCTCCCAGAGCCTCCCTCTAGCTCTTCTCTACTCTCTCCCTGGCTGTGTCTCCCTCTGTCTGTGCACCCTCCTTTCCCCTTCACCCACCCCATTTCCCCTTTGACTCTTTGTGCCTCTTCTTCCCCACTAGGGTCGGGTTGGACAGAATGGGGTGGGAACCATTATCTTGGCTACTTGGAATTGTTGCTGTCCCCAATCCTTGGAGCCTGGGATTTTGAGACCAGAAGTAGATTTGGGTGTGAGGACTTGGTGGCTCCTGAGGCTGTTGCCAGGACAGGGACAGGGGAGAGCAATGGGGCCAGGTGAGGGTGAGACTGTGCTCAGACTGGGCATGGCAAAGTGATCAGGGATGAAGGAACGTGGGGACAGGATTGGGCAGAGGAGACTGGCTCTGATGGATGTGCTAGAACCCCACAGCTGAGCTCCTGGTCCCAACGCAAGCATGGAGGTATGGAGAGGTATCAGAGAGTGGGAGCACTGAACATGCATTTGGATGTGCTAAACTTGAGGTTCCCTACACTGTTCCGAGAGTATAGGGCACTACCCACTTCCTGTTTTGTGTTATGGTTGTAAGCTTTCTTGTCTTCACTGTCCTCAGATGTTGATGACCTTGATCCCCATGGAGCTCGGTAACTGTTGACTTGACTTGATTTGAGTCTGTTTTCTGTGTGGCGGCGTGGAGCATGGATAAGTGTTTTGACTCCTGTGAGAGATCTCTGTCAGGCAGGGGAGTCAGGGTGAGGAGGAGGGTAGATGATGACTGTGAAGCATCCTATGTGCTTCTGTTTCTAGCCGCTGAGCTCACAGCAAGTGGCCCACTGTCCGCCTTTCACTCCTCCAAAGCAAAGCCCTTTCCTCTTCTTTCTGGTGCCCAGGCCAGGCTCCTGCAGCTTTGCTCTGACCTCCTGTGGTCCTTGGGACAAACAAACCTTAGCCAAACCCCCTGACAGTGGCACCAAGAAGCTACCCATGTTTTCCTCTATAGCCCATGTCTGAACCTACTTTGAGCTCTGGGGGAGTGCAGGTAGACAGCTGATTTGTTCCCTTTCCCCATTTTTCCTTTAGAGTGGCCAAGGGGTCAGGAAATAGCTGAGGGAAGAGCTGGAGAAAGAGGCTAGTCCTGGGTTTGTAGGAGGATTGAAGTCAGAAGACGTGTCTTTCTTCCTATGGCTCTAGTGGGCAGTGTGGTGGGATCTGATGTGTGTGGTGGTCATATTGGGGGAATTGAAGGACTGGAGGGGCTGAGCTGGGGCAGCTGTGCCAAGTTCCATATGTCCCAGTCCACTCTACAATGGGCAATCTGCAAGTTTATTCTTCTCACCCTCAGAAGCAGCAAGGGTGGAGAATGGGCCTTGAAAGGGAGGGGATGATCATCTCTTGCATTCTCCCCTCCAACTGAGAAAACTCCAGTAGTGCAGCCAACCATCAATTAGGGCTGGCCCCAGTCTTGCACGATTTCATCCTGTTCTGTGTCTTTCTTTTCCTCGCCTTTCCTTTTCCATCCTGTTCTGTGTCTTTCTTTTCCTCTCTTTCTGGAATCACTTTCCCTCTACTCCTTTTTCTATCTGTTCACCTGCCTCCTGCCCCATATCACATTTCTGCTTGTCTTCCCTACTTTTATCAGTGTCTTCCCCCTCCCAGCCCATCACAAGCCCTCCTCAACCCTCTCCATCTCCTTGATGCCTCTTTCGTCCTACCTCTTCTTTTGTCAGCTCTCCCTTCTCTCTTCCAGGCTCGGGACTGGAAAGAACTCTGGTCATGGAATCCTGAAGTGGCTCTGACTTCTAGAGCTCAGTGGCAGGCCCCACTACCCCAGGCCCTTCCTGCCCCTCCCACAACCAGCTTTCAAGGCCCCTAAGGGAGGGGTGGGGAGGGGATCCTGATCTCCCAGGGCAAACGGATTCCAACATGATGCTCAATTCAGACACCATGGAGCTTGACCTGCCTCCCACCCACTCTGAGACCGAGTCGGGCTTCAGCGACTGTGGAGGAGGGGCGGGACCTGATGGTGCTGGGCCTGGAGGTCCTGGAGGGGGTCAAGCTCGGGGTCCTGAACCGGGAGAGCCTGGTCGGAAAGACCTACAACACCTGAGCCGAGAGGAGCGCCGGCGCCGGCGCCGAGCCACGGCCAAGTACCGCACTGCTCATGCCACGCGGGAGCGCATCCGTGTGGAAGCCTTCAACCTGGCCTTTGCGGAGCTGCGAAAGCTGCTGCCCACATTGCCCCCCGACAAGAAGCTCTCCAAGATTGAGATCCTGCGTCTTGCCATCTGCTACATCTCCTACCTGAACCACGTGCTGGACGTCTGAACTCTGACTGCCTCCACCCTGGACCCCTTTTTCCTCCCTGGCCTCTTCAGGGTCTCTTCTCACCGCTGCTCATCGTTTAAAACGGCCATCTCTTCCCTGAGCCCCTGATCCTTGGCATGGAGTCCCAAAGGCTCTGGGCCTTTCTTTCACTGACCCTGGAACCGTGACGTTATTCTCATTGGTTCCTTGTGGGTTTGTGCTTGGGGCCCAACGGCTAAGAAATGTTTGCTAGAGCATTCGGTATAGCTCTTTGCTGAATTTATTAACTGGCCACTCTTGGAGTCTCACCTAGGTCTCTCATGGGCTGCTGTAGTGTCTACTCCCATGTCCAACTTTTCATAGACTTCAGTCCCTGACTTTGCCTCCCCTCAGCTTCCCATCCTGTTGTAGCTTCTCCTGCCCATGGTTGCACACTGGATGACAACAGGAAGTAAAGGCTGGGGTTTGAGTGAGGAATGGGCTTCCTCCTCAGAGACATCTTCCATCCTTGTTTCGGGAAGGGTGACATGACTTCTATGAGGGAATCTGAGCAGCCCCCGAATTGTGGAAACTCTTTCTGTTGTCCATCATGTTCCTCGGATCTTACTTGGTAGTGAGTGCCTTGCCATCTGTGAGCTATCTGGCCCCCTCTCCAACCCGTCCCTTCTTTTCCAATTTTCTTCCTCCCTATGTGTAGTGAGAGGGAAACCCAGATTAGGGGATGATGTCCTCAAACTCAGCTGAGATATCTCCAGAAGGCCCAGGTAGTGGGTGGACCAGATCTCACTTCTGCTTCCTTCATTCCATCCCACCTTGGAAATATGCAAGCCCCTCACCAGTTCTTCCTTCAGATGCAGGTTGGAGCGGGGGAGGGTATCCCAATGCCCTCTGAAAATGCCCAGGCCTCCTGAGCCTAGAACTTTTTTTATTTTATTTGATGGAGCCTATTTTCTCCATGACCCACCCACCTCCAGGCTCCACATAGTGCTGCCCTGGCCTTGTAGCTGAGTCCACCTGCTCACTGTAGCCCAATGATAGCAATGGAATGAAGGGCCTTAGGAACGATGAAGAAGAAATAAGACTTGCTGCACCATGTTCTCTCTTCCCTCACACCCAACTCTTAGTTCTACAAGGATATTATTTATGTATTTATTTATTTATTCATCTATTTATTTATTTATAAATATTACTATTTATTGCCGAGTTGTGCACTTTGGAGTAAAGTCACGGGGGACTTCCAGCAACTCCTGCTGGGTCTCTCCTGCTTCCTCCCTGGTTACTCCTTTCCCTTTCTTGCTCTTTCTGCAACTCCAGGTATGTGTGGGGATCTCCTTTTCTCACCACACCCATATCCCTTCAGATCAATCTGTCTTTACCCTCATTCTCTGGGATGGTGCCCCTCCCCTAGCTCTGGGGCTCTGGGGCTCCTGAATGCCCTTTCTCAGTGCCCTCCATCCTAGACAATCCCAGCCCAGTCCCCCCTCCACTTTTCTCTCTCTAGTCCCACCATGACCCTCATTTCTTCCTAATATTCCCCACAGTGGGCCCCTGGTGTCTTTGTCTTGTGCCCTGTGTGTCATTCTCTCTACTGCATTTCTGATTTCATACAAAAAAATAATAATAATAATTAAAGTGACCTCATTCTAGCACCAGGCATGGCTGTGGTTCATTTGATGGGATTAGGGAAGCTGGCATGCAGGTGAGCATTGAGGGTCCTCAGCTTTGAAGGCTCCTCTGATGGAGGCATGAGAGCCTAGTAGGTAAATAAAGACAGGGAGAAGAAAGGGCCACAGGACAAAGAGGTGCAGGGCAGAATAAAGTACAGTGTTCCCAGACCTCCTCCCCTAAAGCCCCATATACCCTCATCTTGGCACTCATTAAATGGTATTCTAACTCTTCTTGGTATTGTGCTTCTCCTGGTCTCTGTGGATTTAAGGAGCGGAATATTTTAGTGGATTCCAACTCTGTGAGTTCATGTTGCTGGGAAAGCCATGGCATAAAACTAAGACATAACCTTCCCCATTATTGTCTCTAATCTTGGGCAGAAGCCCTTACAATCTTGGTTTAGGGTCCACTTTGTGTTTTCCAGCTTTAGAATAGTGGGGCAAACACACAGGAGGGCATGATACTGACAAAGGAATGAGGAGAAGATTAAAAAGGAGTGCTGAAGGAATCCTGAGAGGGACCCTAAAGCCTATTTATAGATGAGGACCCTGAGATCCAGAGACAGAAAAGGCTTTGCCCAATGTCGCATAGTTGTGGATAGAACTAAGACTCAGACATAGGTTCTTCATTCTAGATGATGCCAACTCCCCTCTGTCTCCCTGAAATGACCAGCCTGCAGGTAGCACTCACTTTTGGATCCCATATTTTAACAGTAACATTGATAAATTAGATAATATCGGAGTTGTGTGACCAAACAGCAAAGGACCACTTCACAAGAGAAATAGTTGAAAAAGGCTATAGGTTTTTCCAATGGTAGATTTAAGGGCAATATGTCTTTTTTGTTGTTGTTAAGTGCCGTCGAGTTGATTCCCACCCATAGCGACCCTGTATAGGGTTTCCAAGGAGCAGGTGGTGAGCTTGAACCACCAACCTTGCAGTTCAAATAACTTTGCAGTCTGATGCATTAGCCCACAGCGCTACACCAAGACTCCAAGAGCCTTCTTGAGGCAGGCTCTTCCACTGCTGAATATAGGCTGTTCCACTGTTGTAAACCCCCCCCCCCCCAAAAAAAAACATTAAACTGCTTTCTGTAACTCCAACTCACTGGTCCTGGTTCTGCCTTCAGGGGATTCACAAGGTTTAGATGGGTATCAAGGGCAATATGTTGTTATGTGCCGTGGAGTTGATTTTGACTCACAGCAACTCTGTACAGGGTTTCCAAGGCTGTAAATCTTTACAGGTGCAGAAAGTCTCATCTTTCTCCTGCGGAACAGCTGGTAGTTTCAGACTGCTGACTGAAATTGGCAGCCCAATTCGTAACCACTAGTCTACCAGAGCAATATGATACCCATCAAAACTTTGTGAATCCCCTGAAGGCAGAACCAGGACCGGTGAGTGGAAGTTACAGAGAAACAATTTTTTTTAATGCTAATTTTTACAGTGGAAAAGCCTGTTCAGCAGTGGAAGAGCCTACCTCAAGAGGGAGGCATCCAAATAATTGTGCCGTTGGTTGTGAGTGGCCATCAAGTTGATTCCAACTCATGGGTTTTCAAGGCTCTGACCTTTGGAAACATACACCAGGTCTGGTTTCTGAAGTACCTCTGGGTGGGTTTGAACAACCCACCTACATTTGGGCTGGTAGTCAAGTTGAATTGTTTTTGTCACTCAGAAAAAGGGTGAATAATGGACCGTTTGCAGAGAGAGAGAAGTGCACATAGGCACATCCTTGCTCAAATGGAAGACTGGCTAGGTAAATTTAAGAATCTTTGCCAAACTGAAGACATACAGTGGGAGGGAAATGCCATGACAGCCTTCGGCCTCTGCTAAACAATGAATGACCTCAGCAGCAACTTGAGTTAGAATTAGGGAGTAACTAACATATAGGGAAGGTTTGACATCTCCCCTTCCCCATTGGAGTTGAATCAGCCAGAGAGGCTGGCTGAACTGAGACCAAAGAAAATACAAGGAATGCAAAGTGTAATAATTTGGAAGAAAGCTCAGAAAAGGACCTAATCCAACAATTTTGCCCAAGGGCAGATAAACTACTCTCCAGAAAGGTGTTATGACTCACCCATGATGAGAGACTGGGACTAGTCTCCCATTCCTGACCCCAAGTGTTCAGCATCTCCCTCCCAATGCTCAGTAGCCCCAGTGCTTCCATAGCCCAGCCTCCTCCTTCTCTCATCTCTTCACCCCACTGGAAAGCAGAAGGAGTTACCAGCCCCTCCCCTCAGGGATCCCTCAGGGCCTGGGGGTAGTGAAAAAGGACAGCTGCAGCTGTTTGCTAGCTCCAAATTTCTTCAGATAATCAATTGGCCTCGCTGCCGCTCTGCTCCACAGGACTGGAGAAGAAGAAGGAGGTGCATGTGGGGTACGGGGGAGGGCATAGGGGACAAGGTAGTGATAGGAGAAGGAAGAGTGGGTCTGAGAGGTGAGAATCTCCAGACTGAAGGGAGGAGGGAAAAGGGAGGAACGGGTCCCCAGTTCACTTTCCTCCCAAACTCAGCACATGTGCCAGTGGGGTGAAGCTGGGAGGTTTGGGGCTTTTGTACCTTCCACTCTCAACGGCCCCTCCCCCACTGTCCCATCCTTGGCCCTAGCTGCTTCCAGCTGTCCCTGCCCTCTCCCCCCTTAGTTATCACAGGCCCCTGACCCTGCAGTCCTAGCTCTTGTAATTGCTCCCTTCTGCCCACTTTCTCTGCAAACCCCACCCCCAGTGACAAAGCAGACGGCCAGGCCCCAGGGGTTTGAGAGTGGGAGGTGTGGGACGACTCTGCCCCTGACACACACATTGTCATAGGCTGCCAGGCATATGGCCCCTTTGTGCCCACACAATGGAGGCCCTGATTGTGCCCCTTGCCCAGTCTGGGCATGGGGGCGCCTCTCCCTCATCTCACCCACCTCCCTTCTCCATCCCAATGCAACCAGCGCCTGCCTGCCTTTTCTTCCTGGGTCTGGAAGACTTCTTACATCACTCTCTTTATTTTCCTGCTCCTTTCTTGATTTCTTGAGTCTTATTCTGAGCTCTCAAAATCTGACTGGGTGAGGATTATGGGCCCAAGAAAGAGGCGTTTAGGACCTTCTCCACCATGAAATGTAAGTGCAGGAGGAGAAGGAAGCAAGCAGAGATGCCATGGTATGAGACAACAATACTACGATAGAAGAGAAGAGAAAAGCCACATCTGGCAGCCTGAGGACCTGCGTTCCAGCTCCACGTTCACCTTTATTCTTTGTACCACAGTGAGCAAAAACCACACAATCTCCCTGGTTCTGAGTATAAATCGGGGGAGATAATAAGACCTAACTCACAGGGTTGTTATGAATATGGCAGTATTTTGCATGATGCGTGTTCAATC